ATATTTTTTTAAACATATTTTACTGGACATTTTCGCAGCTTCAACATGTCTTCAGTGGTTTTTAAACAGTGTTTGTTAATAATTCATTTCTGTTGATTTATGACATGAAACCATTGTCAACATTTTAAGTTTCTGATTAAAATGTGTAATGCTGTAATGACTGTGTTGAACTATCATTTGGAAAACCAGATAGTTATGGAAATTACGTCATTTATAGATCTCTTAGCAGTAACTGTAAATGATCCAAATGCAACGTATGAAAGTGAGTAATGGTTGCTAAATTATGGCAACATAGTGACATGTAATAATTTAATTGATTTTAAGTACTACAATTTTGAGTGAAAAGTATTAATTTAATTTAACTAAATAAAGTACGTGATAATAAAAGCAACGGTTATTATCGATTATTGCAAGTAATAAGTAAGTCATCCTAAATCAATTTCACAAAAAAAGTGATTTATATTTACTAAATATCTGGGTAAAATTATTTTAATTCATTAATAAACACATTGTTGCTTAATTCAACACATTTACACGGCTATAGGGTAGTGGGATAAGACGCCCCCCTATGCTCAATGTCTATTTGTCTAATATTTTATAGGGTTTTTTGTATCTTTGAGATGGCCATGCTTAGGTTAACATAATTAAAGTAAAATAAATGCCTACAGTTGAGAAATTGTTTAGAATTTAATCAAATGTAAATTTTAGGAGAATGGCATTTTCGCAGCTAGTGGGGAAAGATGGTATTTCTCAGTCTTACTCAGGTTGCTGGAACTTCATTAGCAGAACGTCTGAGGTCAAATATGTGCATGTTAGCTAGAAATGACGATCAACCCCAAACATACTAATCTAGCATTTTACTACTTTAAACAAAAACTATAAAAATCTTTCACTCTAAACAATTGCATAACTTATGTTAAGGTTCGCCTTACTGTAAATACACACTATATATATATATATGTGTGTGTGTGTATTAATAGTAAATTGAACACAATAAAAAAAATTGTAACAGTTTTTTCCCCCTGGAAAGTCGTCTTAAAAACTTGAAACTTAAAATCTTATTTTTGGGGAAACACCCACAACAACAGATGGCGCCAAATATCTGCTAAGCGCATGTTACCCTCCAGACTGAAGTGTGTCACCGTCCCACTGAAACATGGAGCAATCGTGCCGAACAAAGTGGCAACAAAGTAGTTTAAGTTAACGACAGCTGAGGAGGAGTTATGATTTTAAGGTATATTGTTGTTGTTTTTAACATCTTTTAAATAAAATTAATTAAATATCTTTCTAAATGAAATGGTCACATTTAAATTACATTGTAGCCTACATATTATTTATCAGTAATTTAAATGTAACCATTTGCACCTTTTTAAAATTTTCTTCAGTGTGTTTTGTTACAATTTTATTCAAATAAAATGCTTTTCTTTATAAAGACACGATTTGGTATTAAAGTATTTTTCCTGAAAATAGTCGGACTAAAATGGTAATTGTTTACATTGGTATCACATGACTGTTCAGTAATGCTGAATGTCACTTTGTGTCAGTGTTTGCTTAAGTTGTTTCGACAGATCACCAGGAACAGCAGGTAAACATGTTGTGTGCAACTTTTTTTAAACATGTTTATCCAACAGTTTTCCAGTGGTTTAGTGCAAAATACCAACAATATCAGACAGAGAGGCTGTAAGAACACAAAGACAAACCATGTATGTGTACAATTGGTATACAACGGTTTGTGATTCACATTAACAAAGGTTTAATTATTTAATCTGTGCTTGAACTGTTTGGAAAATTTACCCATGCTGGACTACTTACAAAGAATGTTTTGGGATTATGAAAAGGCTCAGTACAGATTATTTTTATGTGAATTAAGGTCTAGGCCTGTTAGTGCATTTAAATTACAACGTTTTTAAACTGTCAGGGCCATCATGCTTTTCAAACGACTGGGGGTCTGGGACAAGGTCAAGTAATCCCATTTTGTGGAATCACGAGGTATCAGCTGCCTGAGCCAATATTGAGTCAAAAACACAATGTCACACATATCAAATGAGTTTGTTTAGTTGAATTTGTGTAAAAAAAAGAACACTTGCAGCACTGAAACTGAATAATTTTTCTTTCACTTGACTTGATCTGAGGATCTGCCCAAAATTTAATTAAGTGGAAGCAAGTTGGGAACATCAGCGCAGCACGAACAATCTTTATGACGTCTTTATATTAATAGTGTCACTTTTATAAAGAGTAAAATAACCTTCAAAAGCCCAAATACTGAAAACTGAACTCATCAGGTTTGCAGCTCCTACGCAGTGAGCAGTTAACCAGGTGACAGTTTCAATCTCTTTCATTTTGCAAGGATTCGTTTTATTAAGCTAGTAGCTTATTGTTGAGGCTGTTCACTTTTGGGGACAGCTTTTGACAAACCAGCTCGAGGAGGAGTTTCTGGAAGACTTCAAGCGTGCACCTGAGCTCCTTGGGATAGGCAAGATTTGATGTACAAAGCCAACAACCATGGAACAAACCCTCTGAAAGTTACCCAGAGCAGTCAGAACTTTCACTCCCTCTACAACGATACCGATGTCGGCAGGACCCTCTGGCGTAGTAGTCCGGCAGATGTTGAAAGACCTCAGCCTCCTCAGAAAGACAGCTCTGGCCCTTCCTGTAGAGGGCGTGAGTGTTCTTGGTCCAGTCCAGTTTATTGTCAATGACCCTCTGGATGGAAACAGGGGTCACTGGAGCCTTGGTTCTCCTTAGATCCACATCCAGCTCCTTAGTCCTTTGTTAGAGCTTACTTAATCTTAAACTTTACAAATTCAATAGGGACCTCGCACGGTTCGTGCTTGGTAAGTAAGCTCAATTTTGGGGGCCTAAACATACTCGAAAACTCACCAAACTTTGCAAACATGTCAGAACTGGTGAAAAATTTCGTATTTATGGGTTTCGCGCAAAATGACTCGCTAGCGCCACCTAGAAAATTGGAAAAAATTAGCCCCTCGTTCAGGTTCAACCTACATGCACGAAATTTTCTGGGGACATGTCAAGACGCACAAAAAAGCCTCAAGAACCCATAGCCTAAAGTCAACAGGAAGTCGGCCATTTTGAATTTTACGGCCATTTTTGGATGATTTACACACTTCGTACTTTAACGAACTCCTCCTAGGGATTTAGTCGGATCGACGTCAAATTTCTGCTGTGCCTTCTAAAGGCATTGACGATGAAAAGTTGTGCTATTTGCGAGTTTTTGTCAATGGGCGTGTCCGTGGCGTCGATGATTCGACATGAACCAGGAAGTTATTGTAACTTCAGGGTATATGCTCACATCTGCACCAAACTGTACATGTCATGTCCTGAACACATGTGCGGAGTGTTCTTATTCATAGTTTTCACATGACCTCACATTCCATGAAAAACGCTCCCTTGGAGGGCAAAAAAGACGTTATTTTCCACTGCCAGGAAGCAAGTGATACACTATAAATGAGTTTTTACTTTTTCATTGCCAAAATGCTGGATGGTAGTGTACCTTCTGATGCACAAATAGAGGAAGAGACAAGCCTGAGCTGTGTTAGGTGAGGGATTCCCCACAAGATAAACGTAAACATTGCCGCGGCGGCAGGGACCTGGCAGCGGGTGCTTTAACAGGGATCCTATGTGCCCAACACTTGCAGTTTGTGTTCATATATTTCTTTTTCTTAAGTTAAGAGGTGATCCAAATAAATGTAACTGCTTTTGCAGCGTCTCTAAGGGGGAGTCGCGGCGCGAGCCGTTGTGTTGGTCTGTTGTTTTTGCCCTCCAGGTAGCCTACCGCAAATGTCACGTGACTGCAAACTATGAATCGACAGGGAGGAACACTTCTAACTATTGTTACAATATGACAACATAAAATACACCAGGTTAGTGCTGAATGCAAAAGATGCTCTTTATGTTATACAGCCTAATAATTTGTCGTCAGCAGCTGTTTGCACTGTTTTTTCACGATTAAATGAGCTACATTGGTGTGATGCGCGAATTGGCTGAATAATCATGTAGGCCTACGCACGAATCATCCACCCACACTCAACCCAACTAATTATTTTCTCGGATTTTTCCCACCTCTACCAGTCCTTTTAACTTTCCAGGTGATTTCTTTATTGTGTTGATGTATGAGTGTTTTTGTTTAATGGTTTACTTTTAGAATTAGAAAGGAGTCTGTCAGTCATTTTAAACGTTTCCATCGGCGCTGTAATGTCACAACAAATAGGCTATCCTGGGACATGAAGCTAATCTGCACAGACAGCTGTTTAATTCACAAATATCCCGCTGTATATTATTTGACCAGAACAAAGTATTACTTATTTATCAAACGGATAAGAAGTTCTTCTTCCATGTAGGCCTACATTTACTAATTTGGCAGACACTATTATGCAGAAAATTCACCTGAAGAAGAATGTTCTTTCTACGATTCTAACCCAGACCTCCTGAACCCAGACCTCCACTGCCGCTGTACTACTGTGTAGCTGTAGCAACTTCCGTTGTGGCTTTTTGTAATCGTGTTGTGGCATGATGTCATCTTGTGAAAATCTGCTCCTGTTTTAGCCCCTCCTACCTGCCTGCTGCCATTACAGGTGCAGCTCTGACTGATTCAAGGAAACAGCTTTCTTTTAAAAAAGTCTTTTCTCTGCTTGGGGCGAGTGAGAGTCTGCTTCATCAACACTTTGGACTCTTTGAAGAAACTGTAAGTTGCTTTGTTTGATAATTTAACTACAAGTTTGTCTTTAGTCTCTTTAGAGTCTTCATCAGCACTTTGGACTTTGTCTTTGGTCCCTTTAAGGTTTGTTTCTTGCTGTCTAATGTTTGTAGTAGTTGTTCACTTCTTATTATCATTAGAGAGTTTGAAGAACTCTTATGTTAGAAGAGAAATCTCCATGTTGTTGGATTATTGATTTACTGGAATCAAACAATCTGATGAACAGCTGATGTTTATTTCCTTTCTTCAGATGTTAGAAAACAAACCACCTACATTGTGCTTTTCACATTGTCTTCTCCACCAGCATAAAGTCAGACACGACAGTATACCAATGTTTCCTGTCAAACCTGAAGGGGAAGATTTTTTTCTCTTTTATATCCTCGATCAGGCCACAAGTTGATTTTTTTTTTTTTTAAGCTGTCCTGCCTGGCAGCCTGGTATGAGTATGAGGAGCTGGATACCATATTTTACCAGAAAGATTTTACTTTAATAACAGAGTATTAAAATACTCCTTTGTCTGTTTTGTTATTGTTGGACCGTGACTTTAAATGACCCTTTTTAAAGTATGTGTAGTCCTTGGTCCTGCATGTTCTTTAATGAAGCAATAGGAGAAGATGTTTTTGGTCCAAGTTAATCAGTTTTATTACAAGTAAATGAATAAAGCTTCAGAGCTCTGGGTCGATCTTCCTTTTTCTGACAAACAACAAGCTGTATCAGTTCATGAAGTCTGACTGGCTATCTCTCCCTGACCCAGTGTTTTATTATACATTGTCAAGTCATAAAACAATAAAACAAAGTGTAGGTCAGTCCATGATTGGCCCACGTCCTCTGACCCCAATGTTGTCCTCTGACTCCACGAATCACCATGCTGTTGGTGGGCAGATTATGAGCGTAGTTCCTGAAATGAGATATCTTGGAGAACAGATGTTTTGTACCACATTCCAAACCACCCCTCACCCATTGTTCATGTCTCCTTATCTGATCATGCAGTGACCCCCTGTTTCTGCACCTCTCCAAAAAACACACACATCATGTCTAGTTTAATAACATGATGGTTGGTTTATAAATGATAAACCAACATATAAACTTCTACCTATAATCTACATCAGAGATCAATATAAGAAAACACAATAATTTTGGTTACCCTGAGTAATACAAAAATCATGCTATCATAATCTCTCATTATTTACTTAAATTTATTTGTCACCGGGTCGGACAGAGGACAGACATGGGGATGGGGAATAGAAACACCACATAAAAAAAACAGCACAGACAAAGGACAACACCTGCAAGAGAACATGGATGGGGGGGTGGGGACAACAGGAAATAGCAGAAGGAAACACCAATTGCAGAAAGCAACAAAACCTGCAAGAGAACTGGGCCATGTTTCAGAAAGCGGGTTTAGTGAAAACTCTGAGTAAGTTGAGCCCTAGATGAGGAAAACTCTGGGTTTTTGGTTTCAGAGAGCGAGATCAGATAAACTCTAGGTCTGTAACCCCGGCAACTTACGCTGTAAACCTAACCTGCTCGGGAGGAGGTTTACTTCAACTAACGCTGAGTTTCTCTCTGCTCTCTCTGAATCTCCTGCAGAGATTGAAGTGGCTGTCTCACACACCGTGTCATTTCCTCAATTATACTGTCAATATCAAAGCATATATGCATATATGTGAATATCTCTGAGTGAGGATGACTGCGGTGCAGGTGAAACAAATAAATGTAATTTAAAAGTGAGTTTTTCATTATCTGCTGATCGTCTGAATGTGTTTTGACAGCATTCATAAAATATGAAATGAGCAAGATTTTATTAATGTAACATAGATGTCTAAAACTTCACAGTCAGTTTGAACCTAGTCACATTTTACATTATTAAAAAATCATTAATAGGCCTACTGAGTCAGACTGTCACTTTACAATCACAGGTCCATGAGGAGCCTAAACTGTGTCTAATCTGTTCGATTAATATTTTCATCTTCAGTTATTTCCACCGGCATTTAGTCCCGTCAGGTTCCAGCTGAATAAACAGGCCTGTAGCTGTTTAAAATGAACAACAGGCTGGAGGAGAATCCAGCACTTTATCAATCATTAAGGAAACTCCAGTCTGGTAAATGATGAATGAGCAACGCTGTAATAAATGTAATGTTGTTCACGTATCGATCCTCCGCTCCTGTGTTTTAGAGCCAATCATGTTGACACGTTGGCAGCATTCATATTTGTAGCTCCACCCGATTAAAATGGAGGCTCTGCCTTTATTTACCCGTTGCCATGGTGAATCGTAGTATCGGAGCTCCATTGATGAGGCTTATTCTGATCAACAGCTCAGAGTTCAGGTTTACACTCAGAGTTTGTTGAACCTGCTTTCTGAAACAGGGCCCTGGGAGGGGGGCTTGGAGCGGAGAAAAACAAACAACAATCAAAAACAAAGAAACAATCAGCCAAACAGCAGCAATGAACAGCTGATATAGGAAGACAATTGACAGAGAAATGAAAATGAGAAACAGTCAAGCAACATAAATAAACAACACAGCACCGCCGTGAGAGCTGAAATAATAACAATTACTTTAAATAAGTAACTGAAAGAAAAACATCAAGAATAATTCTATATGTGAGACTTTATGTGTGTGTGTGTTTGTGTGCATAAGCCTGGTAAGTAATGTAGTTGTTAGTGAGAGTGGGATGCCACAACCGCGCCGCACCGAGTCCAGCAACAGGCAGACAAGAAGCTCAATAGCCAATAGGGGTGGGAGAGAAAAAGAAAGAAGTTGACTCCCAGATGGATCGCGATGCGAACGCAGAAGGACCCGACCAACAAACGGCATCTAAATGCCAATCGACAACGCAATGCCTTCGAAAGCAAAAGGTGGAACCTGCAGAAGAGGCCCCAATCGGTAGAAAAGCGGGGGCCGCCAGCGCCAACCCAACATGCCCCATGCACAGCACACCCTCCAGCTGCTGTGCATCACCAGCCAAACTAGCAACGAGGCAAAATCAACTTGCTCAGCTGCATGTCATCGCCAACCCACCCACCCGTCAAGGGCCGAGAACTCCAGGCACAAGCCAGAACAAACCCAGAGCACAGCTCCGCCCCGCACCCACACTGCACATCCCGACAACTAACTTTATACCTCAGTCTCCAGAGGAGTCCGACAACTGGCCGACAGAGAAACAGGGGAGCACGGATCTGAGGCCACAAACTAGTCCCTCTCTAAGCCAACCAGGAAATGCCTCCCCCGGTCTCCAATGCACAAACCAAACACTCAGTAGCCATCCACCGATCCTGCACAGAAGAAAAAACAAAGGACCCCAAACCACCTGTCTCGGGGAAAGCTGTGCTCCGCCCCGAGGGAGAACAGCAGAGAGCCATGCCGGGGCGCTCCCCATCAGCAGGGAGCAATAACGTGGCAGACCCAGTGCCGACAGTCACCAGCCCAGCCAGGGGCCATCCCCCCGAGTGCAGGCACAGCCTGCGGTCCCCAAGACCCATGAACCTGAGGCCGGACGGGGGCCCAGCCCCCCCAGGCAGCCACCCCCAAGGACGAGGGCCAAAACCCATCCCGACAACAATGTGCCCCCGGGACTACCGAATACCCCCACTGTGAGAGAGCCGGCAGGGGTAAGCAGTGGGAGCCCCACCCCTGCTGAAGAGTGCCCCGGCAAGGAGAGGAGACAATGGGCCCCAGGCCCAGGGACACGCCACCTGCCCCAGATATAAGCAAAAGCCAGAGGCCCGAGTCCCCAGGCCCCCACGCCAGGCAAGGCGGACACCAACCCCATGGCAACCCCGACGCCCTGGGGGTCCAGGGGGAGGACACGAGGCCAATGAGATCCCCCCCAAACACCTACAACTCCCCCCTGCCTGCCTCTGTAAATGTGTATAATGTGTAATTAAAATTGAGGGGCAGCCAGTGTGGGTGGGGGGAAAGCAGCCCCTCACACCAAACGTCCTGCAGCCTGTTCGCCCGCCAGAGCCCTAACAGTGTATGCAGTGAGACATGACCGGGGGGGAAGGTGAAAGAGGTCATAGGGAGGTTAGAAAGGTCCTCCCCACTGTGGCCAGGTTCCTGTCAGCCCCGTCCCCCACCCCCCTAGGCACGAGGACCCCAGGTCCCTCCAGCCCAAGTTGATTCTCATGTTCTATTCACTTGTGTTGTCAGACCAAATGAATAAAAGCAGTACACCTTAGGATTTGCACTAAATAAAGCAAATGAACCCTTTTTATAATTGCACGTATAGAACTCCATGTGATGAGGTTACAATAAACATCCATGGTCTGGAGAAAAATCCCTTACAGCCGCTTTCCAGAAATGGAAAAACATAATCTAAGATGTTCTTCTTGCTTTCCAACCAAACCAGGGGAACCTTGTAGTCTCATACAGTTCCTGTAGTGCATTTTTAGAATTTGTGTCACGTTTCAAATTTGTGGCCCAATCCCAATGTCCACCCTCACAGACTCAGACTTTGAAGCCCGGGAAGTCCGTGAGGGCTTAGGGCTGTCCCACTGTCAAAACATCAAGTGTGTGAGGGCTCCACATTTCTGCAGACTTGACCTGAGGGAATTGCCCACAGTTCATAATGTTGTGACGTGAAACACTAGGGTTACCACGGGAAGCTCGGAAGCGAGAGAAAAAACTCGGCAAATCTGCCTTATAAGAGAAGAAGAACAACAGTAAACAAACAAGCGTGAAAACCAATGCTGATGTATGTAGATTTAAGATGGTGCATAGAACACATGAAGTCAGAGGAATGCAATCACCTTATTAAACACAATTTATTCAAGTATTTAGTTTAGTTTTTGCTTAATGATGCTGTTTTGACCAACAATATTACATTAAATTACAAATCCAGCCTGTGGCCTTTTGCTTCATGTCGTCCCCTATCTCTCCCTCATTTCCTCACTCTGTCCGCTGTCCTATCAAATAACGGCTTAAAAATGTATAAATAACAAAAATAGATTGACATTTACCTCTCCTCCACTCTGTAGGGCTAGAGCCTGCAAGACTTAAAAATCAGCCATAAACATAAAATAAAAAGTGTCTCTGCATTGTCAAGGTAATGTGTTAAAGTGCTTCAGACGGACTGATGTTGGTGAGCTGTTACTCAATCGGCAGCAACGTGTTTATAAGACCTGCCATATTAAAAAGGCAGTACAGTGTGCGTACACAGTATGGTGTTCAGCACATCACCGTTTCTGTTTAAATAAATGTTTGGCTGCATTTTTTTCTGCAGGTTGGACTTTTTGACGCTTCTGGATTTGGATTTGAAGGTATCAAGATGTGACGGCTTCCGATCAGACAAACACAAACACCAGCAGCGTCTGCCAGTGGCTGCAGGTGAAGGTAGAAAGTCTCTTTGACCACATCTGGACGGGACTTTAACAGGTGACAACCTGACAGGTAACATGACACACCTTTGATAAAGAAACTCTCTTCTTTATTCCAACACTGGTATTTACTGTTTCTCACAGCGCTTTTCATGAAAGAGCAGGTCTAGACCGTACTCTATGATGTTATTTACAGAAGCCCAACAGTTCCCACCAAGAGCAGCACTAGGCGACAGAGGCAAGGAAAAACTTCCTTTTAAGAGGCAGAAACCTCGAGCAGAACCATGGCTCAGGGTGGGCGATGAATTCATTCCATGATCTGTGACTTTATGGACAAAAAGATTTCATGTGTAGTTCAGTCTGAATCAGCAGCAGGAAACAAATTAGATTTTAATGTGAGCTGACTTCACTGCTGAGATATGAGGGAGAGTCAGAACTGGTCTGACAGCCTGAATACTTTTTATTCTCTGATTGAAACCTGTTTTTTCTCTGTACTAAACACATCAGAGAATCAGAGAACACTAACTGTTTGTTTCTTTACCTAGAGAGAATTTAGGGGAAAATTCACATTGTGACTCTAGACCCTCTAGGAAGTGGGGCTTGTGTTGCCTCGTTTAATTTGTCAGGTTTGGTTTCTGATCAGATACCTACCTGTGTTTAAGTAGGCTGTCCCAAACACCATGTTTTGGCTCTGGAGCAATGGAAGTATTGTTTATTTATTTGTCGTTTCCTCGCTCCTCGCTTGAACCGGAAGTTGTTCCGCTCAACCATCTTGCAGACTGTCCCAAAGCTCTTTTTTGCGCTCCGAGGATCGGGGAGTGATCTCTGAGGAGCTATGAGCGAGGATAGTGAATCTTTCGCGGAAGTCTTTTACTGACCAACACGCCCCCTTACTGGGTAGCCGTTATATTGACCGGACGCAGCAGCTGATCGGACTGTTCTGATACATCAGGACAGATAACATTAAAGTCAAGTGTATCGCTGTCTTATATTTGAGTTGTTTTATGATTCACTGTCTTGTTAAAATCTGTGTTCATTGTAGGTCTGAACCACAAAAGTCCCACACACAACTTTATTTATTTATTAGAAAGAGTTTTCTTTCTTTTATTTCTCCCATGAACTTGGGAGACAATTAAAGTCAGAGAGTCGGAGAGTCTGTCAGCAAGAAACACGTTTAACATAATTTATCGTCATTTACATTCAGTCACATGTGAGGCTGGTCATTCCTGTGTTTAGTCCAAATAGATGACAATATAACCTAGTAAATACGAAGCCTAAGGAGTCAGACAAGTCACTAAACTGCAATAAAGTCTCAAATGAAGCAAGCAAAGGGTAATCAAGCCTGCACATCCAGCCATCTCACATACTGCATCTGATGAAAGCAGCCGGTGGCTCAACGAGCAGAATCTGATGAAAGAATGAATAAAAGCTGCTGCGCTAAAAATAAATTCATTGGATTGATATGAAGGAATGCAGTGATCGGTCAGTGACGAGTGATGTGACTTGCATAAATAAACTGCATGCAGTAGCGTTACAAGATATCAGAAGAGGAAATGAACAGAAAGCCCAAAAATGAGCGGACTTTGATATGAGTTACATCATTTCAATTTCCCCTAAAACATTTAGCCTAATAATAATAATAATAATAATCATATTCTGGGTTATTCAATAACAAATTCTCAATCAGAATAAATAAATATAAATGCAGATAATATCAGCATTGTGCCAGTAGAAATGATCCTGTGAGCAGGACACATAAGCACTTTCAAAGTTTCCATCAACCCTCAAAAGCTCTTCCCCACCTCCATGCCCGAGACCCCGCTTTCCACAATCCTAAAGCATTCTGGGAACCATTAGTCCAGCAGGCCTCTTACTCTGTCTCATGTTCTGTTCATGGTCTGGTTCTTTTGTCTGGTTCATCTCACCTCAATATTCAAGAATAATTCACCCGATTCTCTGTCGCCTCCGAGGTTATTGCCAGCCTCCTGCCATCCCCCTAGCAATTAAGATTAATTCCCATGATGTATCCTCTGCATCTCCTGACCACCTCCCTCAGAGACAAAAAATTAGGAATTTAAGGTCACTCCATCGCTGCACTTCTCCGATTCCTTTGCCTCCGAGGGCATCGCCATCTCCCCAACTATCCTGCCTCACAACACTCTGCCGATTACTGGTGGAGTTTAGATGAAATAGTTTGGAGGTCTGTTTGATTAAAATCAGCAGCGTCAATAAAAACACCATCTGATTGTTTAGTCATGTGACTCCTGAAGACCTCATACAGTTCCTAAAGTGCATTTTTAGAGTTTGCATCATGTTTCATATCAGTGTGTCACTGAATGTAGTCGCTCCTCCATGCAGGTGTGTGTGCTGGGCTGCAGCTTCATGCCTCCATCTAGTGGACTGATAGTAGAAGTCCAGCAGCTGATGGCAGCTTCCTCTGCCTCACGCTGCTGTCTGACTGCATTCAGCTGCCACTGATATGAAACAGAAACTAGCAGCCAATCAGTGGAGGAGCAGCTGATCTTTTTCCAGGAGAAATGATGGAAAGGAGGATTTGAGTTGATGTGCAGATGAATGATTTGTGTTTCCTCTCCAGGTGAAAGTGGATGTGAGTTGAGCAGCATGAGTCAGTGTGAGGACAGAGAGGAGGGAGTCCCTCCCTCTAAAAAAGCTCGGTGTGGGGAACATGACAGCCAGACCAAAGCTCAGAGGTGAGATGAGGATCTCTAACTGTCCAGGACTCAAATCACTCCACCATCATTATTCACTCTCAAACCTCTGTGTGTGTTGTGTTGAAGCCCAGAGCAGCACACACCAGACTTAACTTACATGAGTTAAGTAACGCACTTATTTTAACCCGAACCATGATGTTTCCTAAACCTAACCAAATTGCAATTGTTTCACAACGTTAACCACTAGTTTTTGCTAACTTGACTGTGGAGCCCTACATGTTGAAAAACAACGCTAAAGGAGTACCCAGGGAGCAACGCCAAGGGGTTTTGACCAAGTGTCAATATGATGAGAGTGACTGGTCAAAAGATTTTTATATTGACTTTGAACAAGAAAATTTCACAGACAGTGAGTATGTGTCAGTATTAAACAGCGTTGGCCAATCAGAGCTAAATGTTCATGTCTCCCTTCTCATGTTGCTCCCTGCTGATGTTTGTCCTCATTAAATCCAGTCTGACCAGTTGTCCTTCTAATGTCCATGTTCTCCTAGAATGATGATGAAGGTCAGAGCCAGATTAGTATTGAAGGACAGGTCCACCTGAACCAGTCTGTCCCTATACTGACATGCCCATAAGTCCACTGAAAGAGTTCTTGATGGCTGTAATTGTTCCTCCTGTGCACAACTGGCCCTGAAGAGATCTGTTCCTGATGGGGTTTCAGTGGAAGTGATGGAGTCCACAGTCCTGGTTCTGTGACATTGGACATTGGATTCAAGACATTGGACAGTTCAGAGGCTAAGAGGCTTCAGCAGACTCAGTTCCATAAATCAAGTTCAGGTCTTTTTAGTCCTTCCTCTTTGGATTTTGTCCTAAAATGCTTCACCAACCAAAGTCTATAAGTAACAGCAAATGTTAGAATTAGGGATGGGTATCGTTAAGAAATGAACGGTATTACTACTATTATGGATACTGCTTATCAATCCGGTGCTTTAACAGTATTCTTATCGTTTCTTTTCGTTTTTCAGAAAAAAAGAAAGAAACCTAGAATAGAATTACCCTTTCTTTATATACATTTTTGCAAAATCTTTAAATGGGTGATTGAATTTATGAACCACCAATGGTTAAACAGTCAGCTGGCCAAAGGTTACTTTTTATTATGAACCCATGTTCGCACAGTTTAGTTAACTGTGTGTGTAGTCTCTAAGCTGCTTGTACACATATCGCACGTAGACAAAGAGCAAATAAGTACAAGCAAACAAGTGGAAAACGGTGAGTTTACTCTGCAGAGTATACGTAGCCAGTCTATTTTTGATGGAAGCTGCATCGAGCAGCACATAACGGCATAAAGAATCCGGTCAATTCTCAAAATAAAACACCCTGTGGAGACTCTCGACAATAAAACAACAAACACGGTTAAAACAGACAAAAAAAGAGAACACAATTAACTATGTAGCGTTCTTAATCATAGTAGAAGCACAAAAAGCAAACACTGATTATCAAATCAACACAATCTAAACACTTCAGCAAAATCAGGCTCTGATTCTGAAATGCTTCTGCAGACGACAGAATGAAACGGGGTCACAGAGAGCTGTGAAGAAGTTAGCACAAGCACAAAAAGGGCAAATTAATAACAAGTCAATGACTTGGTTTAGGCTACAGGCTCTGCTGCTGAAATTCTTCTGAAATGTTTCCAGTGGACTTTGATGCTGGGCTGAAGATGGATCAAAACCGTGGCGCAATCGTAACGCAACATAGCCTGTGTTGAGCCGAATTCTGCCTGCCTGCCGAGAATAGCATGCACCTCATGGGAGGTAACACTCATTTATGTTGAATAAAGAGGTGGATGCAAATCTCGACTAGAAGCCTACATCATGTGTTCTGCCGTATTGTGCATCCACCTCTAAAGGTCCTTTTCAGACACAGTTATCATACAGATACAGTTATTACCTCATATTTTTGCTGAATCATAAGGAATGCTACTTCTAATAAGTGTAATAAAATATTAACGACTCTAAACGTTTATACAAGATATACTTTTATAAGTTTTATCACCATTGATGAACTCCACAAAGAATATTATAGCATTAAAAACAAGTATTTGGAGGTGCATGCAATTCTCGGCATGTCTTCAAATCTGTTGTCAAATCTGGACTAGATTGTCCCAGAGGGACAATAGTCTTTAAAACACTGATTCAGATTTGTGAAAAATTTATTCTATTTGTAGTGTTTCAGACAGCATTAAGGCTTTGTCTAAAATGCCTAACAGCTTTCAAAACAGTAAGAGGTGCAAAAAACAGAGAATCAAGCTCAGCAGTGTGAGTTAACTTTCCCATAAGTTCCCCTAAACCTTCCCCTTAACTGCCGAAGATGTGAATCGGAAGCTAACTTCAGCGTCTTGTGGAGTTCTTTGCATCCACCTCTTTCCTCAGTATACTCTATGGGCTACGAGCGATATCTTCCACAAGGTGCCTACAGTTCTCGGCAGGCATGCAAAATTCAGCACACCAGTGGTGAGAGAGAGAGCATGCAGGCTCCGTGAGAGGTAGCCATTCCTAGTCAAAATACAGGCCAGCAGTGCTGCTGTTGATGGAGCCCACAGTTAAGTTTATCTGTCAGTAACAGTAACATCTGCTCAGAAATCATTGCATGTAGTCCCGGTATTGTTCGGTCCAAAATCTTATGGAGAATGTACCAATGATGGACAGACTGAAATCATTCACTTTCATGTTCTATTGAACTTTGATCCTTTTCTTGTTGATAGCTGCTAGTTTCTCCAGCAGCTTCTGAGTCTGAAGACTGCAAGTTAATTTCCATCCCTGATGGCTTCCTCTCTGTCTAACAGGAGATGGGAGACCGGTCTCTGCTGAACCTGGATCTGGACTTGGCCGTGAACCTGGATCCAGCTGTGTGTCCTTAAAGAGTGACTGGTCAAATGCTCACTTCATTGATTTTAAAGGACGACAGTCCTCTGCTGCAAAACGGTCAGCTGTTAATAACGTTGAAATATTATTAATTTGTGTTTTTACTGTTTTATTGAACGTGTGTGTTTATTTTCAGCATCGTTCTTCTTCACATACACTTATATTCTCACATCTGAAGCTTCCCAGTAGAACCAGTAAACCAGTCTTAAAGAGGTCATATTCTGCTTTTTGGCCTTTTCCCTTTCCTGTATTGAGTTATAAACCTTTTTTGTGCATGTAATAGGTTTGCAAAGTGAAAAAGCCCAAAGGGAGTTCCCATCTCCCACAGAAAACTCTGCTCTTAACTGAAAACAGCTCGTTTGCAGTCCAGCCGCTTCCCTTTCATCCCTGTGACGTCACAGGGATGAAAGCAAAACATGCGTCATATAACGCTCGCCAAGCGGCTACTCCGACACGCCCTCAGAAACAGTGAGCTGCAGCACACAGCTCTCCTCTCCCTTCCAAACACTAGCTACCCTCCAGGCAGTCAGTGGACAGAAAGTTGTTCCTGTGATGTAGAGACAGAGCTCAGTTAAAACTTTATGGATACAGATTAATAACTCACCGCTCTGAAACTCTCGCTCCAGTCCATGTTGCCAAGCTGGTCGGCAACACGTACGGCTGAACCCGAGCTGTTTACCGGCTTCTCGCTGACCCGCCCTTCTCTGCTTCTGATTGGCTAGTAGTCCTTAACTAGGAACTGAGCATGTGCTCTCCGTCTAACAGGATCTATGGGAGACCGGTCTCTGCTGAACCTGGATCTGGACTTGGCCGTGAACCTGGATCCAGCTGTGTGTCCTTAAAGAGTGACTGGTCAAATGCTCACTTCATTGATTTTAAAGGACGACAGTCCTCTGCTGCAAAACGGTCAGCTGTTAATAACGTTGAAATATTATTAATTTGTGTTTTTACTGTTTTATTGAACGTGTGTGTTTATTTTCAGCATCGTTCTTCTTCACATACACTTATATTCTCACATCTGAAGCTTCCCAGTAGAACCAGTAAACCAGTCTTAAAGAGGTCATATTCTGCTTTTTGGCCTTTTCCCTTTCCTGTATTGAGTTATAAACCTTTTTTGTGCATGTAATAGGTTTGCAAAGTGAAAAAGCCCAAAGGGAGTTCCCATCTCCCACAGAAAACTCTGCTCTTAACTGAAAACAGCTCGTTTGCAGTCCAGCCGCTTCCCTTTCATCCCTGTGACGTCACAGGGATGAAAGCAAAACATGCGTCATATAACGCTCGCCAAGCGGCTACTCCGACACGCCCTCAGAAACAGTGAGCTGCAGCACACAGCTCTCCTCTCCCTTCCAAACACTAGCTACCCTCCAGGCAGTCAGTGGACATAAAGTTGTTCCTGTGATGTGGAGACAGAGCTCAGTTAAAATTTTATGGATAAAAGATGAGAATAAACCTAAAGGAAGTTGGCCAACATCCCAAACTCTATTAAACAATCCCAACACCATGTCATGTGTGCCAACATTCCAAAACATACACCATCTTTCCCTGGAGTGGTCTGATTAGCACTAGTAATTGCTCTTCTTAGCTCAAACATATTAAACGGTAGATCTAATGGATCTCCTGACACCTCCCTTTTCTCTAGTATTTTGGGATTCTCCATACACTGCCTTGCCTCGTCTGTGAGATTATATGAACCTGAGCCTTTTCTAAATTATTGACAGCCATTTTGTTCCCACTGTTCAACACTGGTATTTTTTGTAATTTCCTTACTACTTCCTTACTTGCTTAGGCCCTTTTATACTGGATCAATGCATCCTGAGAGTGAAGTTTCTTGAGTTCTCTAAATGCTTTATTCCTGGCCTTTATGGCTTTGCTACAGCTATCATTCCACCAGGGTACACTCTTGGTCTGTCTAGTTCCTGTACTCTTTGGTATTTTTTCCTCAGCAGACTGAATAATCTCATTAATTATTTTACTATTGATTAGGTTTACATCTGTCTGGTTCTCCTCTTTAAGTTTCCTGAATCTGTTTGTGCTGATGTCTTGGAAAACATCTCAGTTAACATTTCCC